AATACATACATTACATACTGTGGTACTGATGCCTATAACAATATACACATAATACATACATTACATACTGTGGTAGTGATGCCTATAACAATGTACACATGATACACTCATTACATACTGTGGTACTGATGCCAATAACAATGTACACATAATACACTCATTACATACTGTGGTACTGATGCCTATAACAATATACACATAATACACTCATTACATATTGTGGTACTGATGCCTATAACAATGTACACATAATACATACATTACATAGTGTGGTACTGATGCCTATAACAATGTACACATGATACATTACATTAGATACTGTAGTACTGATGCCTATAACAATGTACACATAATACATACATTACATACTGTGGTAGTGATGCCTATAACAATGTACACATAATACATACATTACATACTGTGGTACTGATACCTATAACAATGTACACATAATACATACATTACATACTGTGGTAGTGATGCCTATAACAATGTACACATAATACATACATTACATACGGTGGTACTGATAGCTATAACAATGTACACATATAATACATTACATTATTAGTACTGATGCCAATAACAATGTACACATAATACATCCATTACATACTGTGGTACTGATACCTATAACAATGTACACATAATACATACATTACATACTGTGGTAGTGATGCCTATAACAATGTACACATAATACATACATTACATAGTGTGGTACTGATGCCTATAACAATGTACACATGATACATTACATTAGATACTGTGGTACTGATGCCTATAACAATGTACACATATAATACATTACATTAGATACTGTGGTACTGATGCCTATAACAATGTACACATAATACATACATTACATACTGTGGTAGTGGTGCCTATAACAATATACACATAATACATACATTACATAGTGTGGTACTGATGCCTATAACAATGTACACATAATACATACATTACATACTGTGGTACTGATGCCTATAACAATATACACATAATACATACATTACATACTGTGGTAGTGATGCCTATAACAATGTACACATGATACACTCATTACATACTGTGGTACTGATGCCAATAACAATGTACACATAATACACTCATTACATACTGTGGTACTGATGCCTATAACAATATACACATAATACACTCATTACATATTGTGGTACTGATGCCTATAACAATGTACACATAATACATACATTACATAGTGTGGTACTGATGCCTATAACAATGTACACATGATACATTACATTAGATACTGTAGTACTGATGCCATATAACAATGTACACATAATACATACATTACATACTGTGGTACTGATACCTATAACAATGTACACATAATACATACATTACATACTGTGGTAGTGATGCCTATAACAATATACACATAATACATACATTACATACTGTGGTACTGATGCCTATAACAATGTACACAT